CCCAAAACAATGTCGTTTTAAGTATATATTTATAATCTTTTTGGAGTGACTGCAAGTGACGCCACTTGCACCATAGTGAGTCCGCCCCTGCCTATCATATCACATCTATTTCCTACTCCCTCCGTCCCCAATTTAATTATAAATTGCTGGTTACGGAGTAAAATTTTCTACTTTTTGAAATCATTTTATTTATAAATTGGTATATCAATAAGATATAAAAATTACATATTAAAATACTACGTCAAAAGTTCTACAAAACAAGAGGTGACAAGAATATTTTATTTTATCAAATACTTAATAATATCGCGTAAACAAACAAAAGTTATCAAGAGGGGAGAGAAAAAAAATTGTAATCTATCTAAGACGGAGGAAGTATTAATCTACCATGAAATCCTACTTTTATCCATCACATCATAGACATTTTTAGAAACTCAACACCAAAATACACTCTTCTTAAATATCTTAAAAATTAAAACTTTCCATGTTTTCACGGATGGAGGGAGTAGTTTTTAGTGTTGTTTCCCATTTTTAGCTTTCAATTTTTGGTGTAATGACAAATATGAGCTCGTGCTATTTGGAACTTTTTACTGCTTGATGTGAGTAGTTTTCAATATGTCGTTTGATACCGAAAACTCTCAACAAAAAAGAGATGAAAGTGAGATGAAATTGGTGGAAGGAAAAAGTAAGAATGAGCAAAGTGGTAGAGTACAGATGTCGAGTCCACGGGGATAGCGTTATTGGTTAGTGATGTACCCGTATTTTATACACTTTTTAGACATAATTTGGAGTAGTTTTAAATCCCAATTGAATTTGATTTTTTAATCTTATTTTAATTTTCTATTTTATTTTGGTAGAGTGGTACTGTTTGCTCAGGTGTTTAATTTAGAGCATCAGGAATGAATAAAGCTATTTGTATAACAAAAGTTATGCCTCAAATTGTACATCACATATGTGCACTTTCATTTTGTACTAATGTGATGATTCACAGTAACACAAAATACTAATGATTTTTTAAATTGCACTAGCATTATTTTTTTTATATAAATCATCAAAATGTTAATGTATATCTTTGATGTAGAACTTTGGATACATTACTTGGTTTCCTGCTCGCATGATTGCTTTGGAATTGGTCTTAAATAGAATTTTTTTAAAGAGGAACTAGGAAGGAATATAAGTTTCAAATAAAAGGAATGTTTTTTATTAAGAAATTTCATATGAAACGGCATTCATCCACTTTACATTCCACTCCCATACACACATTCTCTTTCTAAAGCTTCTCACGACTCGCCATTACATACTCAGCTCGATCGATCATGGGAAGAATCACAACCCTACGAGATCTCATCGGAGCGGTCAAAGACAAAGCCTCCAAGTCTAAAGCCGCCATAGTCTCCAACAGGGGAAACCTCTCGCTCCACCTAGCAGTCCTACGCGTCACCTCCCACTCGCCCAACGCGCCGCCAGATGACCACCACCTCTCCACTCTACTCTCCCTCGCCGAACGCTCCCGAGCCGCCGCGTCCACCCTCGCGTCCGCCCTCATGGACCGCTTGAACCGCACCGGCGACTGCGCAGTCGCTCTGAAGTGCCTCCTCGTGATCCACCACGTCATCAAACGCGGGCCCTTCGTCCTCCGGGACCAGCTCGCCGCCCGCCGGAGCGACCTCAAACTCTCCTCCTTCCGCGACGGCGCCACCCCTGCCACGTGGATGCTCTCTGCGTGGGTCAGATTCTATGCTCGATACCTCGAAACCTTACTCCTCGCTTCGATCAGGGGCGTTGCGAACGGGGACTCAATCCGAGACGTCGATTCGATGATCGGAGTAATCGAGGAGATGTGCGAAGCGCCGGATTCCCTCCTCGTGGAAGGCAACAAACTGTTGTACGAGGTAATGGGGATGTTATCCGACGACTACTTTTCTTTAGTGAAAGAATTACTGCCGAGACTCGGCGAGCTTGAGGAGAGACTCGGTCAGCTGAGTTTTGCTGACTCGGTCGAGTTGGCTTGTTGTCTGAGGAGGCTGGAAGATCTTCAAGGGAGATTATCTGGCTTGTTCTTGACGGCCGTTACAAAGCCGTCAGTTCGGACTTTGTGGGGCTTGGTGGGACAAGTAAAGGAGAGAATAGAGACGTTGAAGGATAGTGGAGGGATGCTGACTTTTAGTTTTAGCAAGAAAAGTGAGTCGGCTCGGTTTAGTGACCGAGTCTCTAGCTTACACAACTCGGTCAGGTTTCCTTCGGGGAAGTACCATATGACAACACGACCGAAGTGGTAATTTTAAGGTAGATATGGAAGGCAAAGGTTGTTTTGAAATATTAAAATTCATAAAATACAACTATGTATATATTCCCTCCGTCCCAGTGTATTTGTCCAATTTAACTTTTTTGAATCAAACTGGACAAACTTTGAGATTCAATTAAATAAAAACCGTAATTTATTTTAACATAAATAAGACTTTTTTTGGATATATCGTATTGAGAAATTTCAAAATTGTATTTCATTATGATAATATGCAATATAAATTGAGAGTAGTTCGAGTTCAAAATTTGTCCAGTTGTATTTTTGTCCAGTAGCATTCGAAATTTGTCCAATTTGTATTCATCAAAATGAGATGAATGCTACACAACTCGGTCCAGTAGTACACCATCCGTTCAGATTTAAAATTCTCGATTAACATTTTTTTACACAACTCGGTCATGATTCTATTATTCCATATATATGAGTTGTAATTCAGATTTAAAGTTCTCATTTTAATGTATTTTTGGTCAAACAGTTAGACGCTTTAACCATAAATTAAATATAATCTAAATAAAGAAATGCTAAAAAAGTTTGAGATATCAAAACTAGATACTAAGATGAATCTAATTATATTAAATTTATTTTATAATTCAATATACCTTTCTTACAATTTGTAGTCAAAGCATGTAAATATTTGACTAAATACTATTCAAAATGGGAACTTTTTTGTGGAACAGAGGGAGAATTTGAATAATGTCTAGTGGCAGGAATAATGTTCAGTAATGCTAGACATTTAATTTAAACAATGCCCAGTGGGGGTTGATGTCATATTTAGATAGGGTGAATGATATGTACTGTAGGAATGTAACATTACTCAATTTTGAATCACAAACACTTAGCTAATTCCATAATTAAATTTAGACAAATTTCTCTCATCATACCATGTCAATGCAAATATCCCATCAAAACTTAAGTTGCATGGAGAATGTATATAGAATTTTGGGTACTATAGGTAGGTTCGCTAAACACAAGTCTAATATAATAACTAAAGACTACTCCCTCCGTCTCATAAAACATTTCCTGTTTCAAAAAAAACGCGCCTTTAAAATGAGTAATTTTGGTGTTATTTTCTAATTTTGCCCTTACTTTATAAAAGAGTAGGATGAGATGTGTAGAATAGATTAGTCATAATTAAAAAATAACACTAAAATTACTCATTTTAAAGGCGTTCCATTTTTGAAACAGAAAATGTTTTATGGGACGGATGGAGTATATGTTTTAAGTACATATCTATGTACTCTTGGTATTTTTATTAGGCTATGAATCAACTAATCCTCAAATGTCAAGCTATGAATGAAAACCTTTTGATGCTTATCAATTCAAGTTGATTGTGCTTATTAGTTGATCATCTCAAATCTTTACAAAGAGTTGTGACGTACACCTTCCCACTTCTCTACATGTTTGTTTGCTTTCTCAGCCTGCATTTTCATTATGTAAACATACCAAATGAATAATACACTAAGAAAAAACACCAAGCACAATTGCAATTGTGGATATATAGTTGAATTAATAATAATAATAATAATAATAATAATAATATGCTCCCTCCGTTCCATAAAACCCTTCCCCTTTCGTTTTTTTTCTAATTCTCTAAAATACTTCAACTTTCTATTAAAAAACCACTTTTACCCCTACTTTTTCATAACCTACATATCACATCATATTTTTTCATTAATAACCAAACTATCACATCTTACTTTTACTCATCACATCAGGGGCAAAATTGGAAAATCAACCAAAATTATACTTTTCTTATTTTGGCCCAAAGTCAAAATGGAATGGTTTTAAAGAAGTAAAATTTGCACCAAATAGGACTAAAACATAATGTCTTTCTCAATGTAGGACTTAAACTTTTTTATTCTCTAAACAGGACTTAATAATGACCTAGTGGGAAGAATAATGTCCAGTAATGATGGACATTTAGTTGAATAATGACTACATGATAATGACCAAAAGTCCTACATTGGAAAATAAAAATATATGGTCCTATATTGGGAAAGTCATTATGTTTTAGTCCTATTTAGGTAAATTTCTCTTTAAAGAATGGAGAGAGTATAATAATAATAATAGAAAGCATGCATATGTGAAGGGTTTGTTTACAAGCAACCTCTTTTTCCCAATCACATCGCAAGGTGATTATACACAATATTAGAGTTTGTACTGCAGTTCCACCAAAGATCATCCCAGCCCATATTCCCTGCAATGTCCATTATAGATCTACTTTAACTCAAATTTTTTTTAAAAAAATCATGCGTTCACCAATGACCATTAAGCACAATAGCACATCACAAAGATCACATTATTATAGATCTACTTTAACTTTTGAGAAAAAAATCATGTAGGACCACCATGTACATGACATGTTTAACTCAAAAATCTAAAGAGTCGGCCTGGATTCTACTCCTTCCGTCCCACAAAACGCTTCCGTTTTAAGTTTTTGCGCATCTCATAAAATACTTCTATCCCACCTAAAATGTCTAAAATACCCCTAAAACAACTTCTACCCGCAATAAACTACATAGTGGGGTATATTTTAGATATTTTATGTGGGAGTAAAAGCGTTTAATGAGGTGCGCAAAAAATTAGGGCAGAAGGGTTTTAAGGAACGGAGGGAGTAATAATTATCACATCCCTAATTTTTTTCGAATTGATGGGAAATAATACGTGGCTCGGCCCACATTTTCCAATTATTTACGAAGGACAGCCAAACCGGGTCTCTTTAATAAAATGAAGGAATAAGAGAATATTCCTCCGAATATGCTCCTCCTCCCTCCTATAAAAGGAGGGGTGCCCCCAATGTGAAGAGGAGGCCAAGTTCTATACTCTCCCCTGCCCACTTAGTTTCTCTCTCTAGAAAATCCTTGTATATTTTTCCTTCTTCTTCAAGAGCTTCTAGCTCCACCATTAATGGCTTCCGAGCCGAACTCTTGTACCGTGTACACACCCCCGATATTAATAAAAATCCCCCGTTGGCAAGGTATCGTCAAAAAAGGCTAGTGGTTTTCTCCCGATTTGGGTTTCCACGTCAAAATCCTCGTGTTTATAGTTTGGTGTATTTTTTAGACTAGTTTACCGTTTTTGCCGGGCTAAAACGATATACCGGTCGATAATTTACACCATCATTTTGGCGCCACCCGTGGGACCCGAACAAAATGTTGTGTTTTTTGTTCGGCCAATTTTTTCTCTTACCACACGAAGTGAGCAAAAATAAAAAATAAGAGGGAGAGAGCCATCTGTACAAAAAAAAGAGAGGAAGAGAGATGCTGGGGAAGGAACAAAAAAGATAAGGGAAGAAAAGGGGAAAAAATTGGGGGCTTTCCTTCAAAAATCCAAAATGGCAAAGAGAAGCCGCCGCCCCACAAGGAGAAGCCGCCGCCGACAACGAGAAGCCGCCGCTGCACGATCTTGTTAAATTGCCGACCTCCACCAATTCGGCCAGCCGTATCACCAAAATCGCCGGCCTCCACCCTTTGGCTCTGCCGTCACCATTGACGTTGCATGAAGCTACTGCTGAAATTGCAAGGCCGCCAAGATCGTCTTCATCACTAAAGCACTCACTGCCGTCGCCCTTGATCGCAGCCCAATTTCCAGAGACGATTTGCATACTCCGTTAAAAAAATGGAGGAAATAATGGAAGGAAGGAATGATCGGGGATCACCCCTGTCCGAGAAGTCGCGCACTAGCCGAGATAAGCGCCATCTTCAATTCCGTCCGTCGCCACAGCGATGTGATCCGCCTCTGGAGGACTTCGTCCAGACTTGCCATCGCTGCTCAAACCCGCCGCAATCACCACCACAATCAACACCAAGACACCGCTGAGGTGATGCCGGAGCAGAAAAAGAGCTGTACCGGCCCAATAGATGGATTTCCGGCAGTGGATCCGATCCACCCTCACCTGAAATCAGCTTTATTATGGGAAGAGATTACTCGTCATTTTTACTAAAATCTGTCATCGGCTCTAGGCGAATATCCATGCGCCCATACTCTCATTGAGGTCCGCCGCTGGTGCCGCCGCCGTTGCTGAAGCCAACCGCTCCTACACCGATGCACCGTTGAAGACAACATCACCATTGCTTCTCACTTAAGCCAGCGACTCCACAGCTTTCAGGAATCGAGGTTCTAGAACTTTCAAGCGTTTCAAAGATGTCGCCCACTCTTTGTGCTGAGATGTTCTCGCCGCTGCTCAATTTCGCAACCGTTGTTGTCGAGATCGGCCGGGAGAATTGTAGGTCATCTCCGGATTAACTACCATTGGTGGCCCCAAATTATTGCAAGGAGAGCCATTAGTTCATTATCAAGATTATCTATCATTGTCAAAGACAACAGCAAAGTGTGGATTCACTCATGGTCATGGGGAAAAATCCAAGTGCTTACAAATAAAGTTTATACGGAGTATATTCAAGGGTGTTAAAGTGAATGCATGTACCAAAAAGAGGACAAAGTGGCGACGTGGGGAAATAATGCAAGATTGAGGATGGTGGGGCCTGTTGATTCCATTAACTTTTGAAATACACCAATTGAGAAACACTCACTACAGTGTTCACGTGCTATCAGGCTCCACAATTGAACTATGACATATTCTCAAACAAATTGCCCAGTTGAATACACCGATCATGTATCGGTCTGCGACATCTTCGGAGGGAAGACTGAGACACAAGCCGAGCTTGGTACGCTGGTTACTACACCGGTCTTGCTCAGTATTAAAAAAAAGGAAGACTGAGACACAGGCCCGGCCTGGCACGCTGGTTACTACACCGGTCTTGCTCAGTATAATAAAAAATATTAAAATATGTGACACAGGCCCGGCCTGGCACGCTGGTAAATATCATTCTTGTGCGCGAGACAGGCCAAGAATGATATACACACCGGTCTTGCACATATTTTCTCGTAAGTCTGACCCTAATCGAATTGGGTACACCGGTGGCTCAGCTGAGCCCTTATCGGGGACGCCCGATTCTTCAGGCCCTTTGAACAATGCACTCCGGAAGTGGTCTCTGCATGACATGAAGATATTTGCATCAATTAGCCGGACTAACATCGATCTTCGACAAAGTTGCTGCAACATACTTAATTCGTATTAAGTAACATCGATTACTTCGATATACTAATTTCACTATGTGTCTTTTACTTAATCCGTACTAACTTCGGTCTCGACGAAATAACTATTTGAAGCACCGCCGCTTCATCGTACTAACTCCGGTGTCGTATAACTACTCGAAGCATCGTTGCTTTATCGAACTGACATCGCTCTTGTGACGATAATTATTCACGCGAATTTTAACCACCCTAACACCGAGCTCCTCGGTAAAGATAATAATTTTTTGAGCACGGCATAGGCCGGTCAAAAAAAATGTTGTACATATTATTTTTTTGCAGGAAAAACTTCTGATTCAAGAAATTAAAGAATTAATGAAGACTCAGAGGACTAGCAATAATATCAACCGGCCAAGAATCCAAAGTACGAAGACTGAAGATATCACTCGGAGGACTTGTTTACTTTTTTAAGTTGATGATTCTCACAACTTAAAAAAGTGGAGGACTTCTTGATGGGAAATAATACGTGGCTCGGCCCACATTTCCCAATTATTTACGAAGGACAGCCAAACCGGGCCTGTTTAATAAAATGGAGGAATAAGAGAATATTCCACCGAATATGCTCCTCCTCCCTCCTATAAAAGGAGGGGTGCCCCCAATGTGAAGAGGAGGCCAAGTTCTATACTCTCCCCTGCCCACTTAGTTTCTCTCTCTAGAAAATCCTTGTATACTTTTCCTTCTTCTTCAAGAGCTTCTAGTTCCACCATTAATGGCTTCCGAGCCGAACTCTTGTACCGTGTACACACCCCCGATATTAATAAAAATCCCCTGTTGGCAAGGTATCGCCAAAAAAGGCCCGTGGTTTTCTCCCGATTTGGGTTTACACGTCAAAATCCTCGTGTTTATAGTTTGGTGTATTTTTTAGACTAGTTTACCGTTTTTGCCGGGCTAAAACGATATACCGGTCGATAATTTACACCATCACGAATAATGGAAAAAACATGACATTATGTTGGGCCGTGTTCCTTGGACCACAAGGCAAGAAGGAAAGCAAATCCCATTCTAAGTGGGATTGCTCTTGATTTGTTTCCTAGTTCATATTTAGTGATTTGTTTCCATGTAGGAGTAGAATTCCTTTTGTGTTTTGGTCTTTTTCCTCTCCTATAAATAAAGGAGAAACCCCTTGTAATTGGTAGAACAATTCAATATACAAACTATTTTCTTTCTTATTAATTTCTACATGGTATCAAAGCCAGGTTCCTAGGGAAAACCCTAATCTAGACAAACGACGGTCCATCACTGTCCTCCGCCAGTTCAAGCCTGTCTTCCGCCAGATCACCGACCTCGACCATTGACATGGCAGAAGTAGAAGAAAATCTCGTCGGCAAGCTCTTCGATGAGGAAGAGAAGATCCCTACGAAGTGAAATTCTTACGAACTCAAGAAGGCATACACACCTGGATTAATTATCACCCAAGTCAAACTAAACAGTGATAATTATGAAGAATGGGCTCGTGCAATGAGAATTGCATTCCGTGCAAAACGGAAAATTGGATTCATCGACGAATCCATCCCTTGTCCAGAAGAGGGAGATGAAAACTATGAAGAATGGTGGATTATGAATGCCATGTTGGTCTCATGGATTTACAACACAATTGATGGCAGCCTGAGAAACTCCATCACACAAGTAGAAGAAGCAGCAGAACTATGGAAGGACATCCAAGATCGTTTTTCTGTTGCAAACGGTCCTCGAATTCATCAACTGAAGAAGGAACTTGCAAATTGCAAGAAAAACGGTCAGTCCATCGTTACGTACTTTGGAAAATTAAAAACCATATGGGATGAACTCGGCGATCATGAAAAAATCCCCGCTTGCAAGTGCCATGGATGCAAGTGTGGGATAAGCAAAGTGCTTGCCATCCAATGCGACAAAGAAAAGGTTCACCAATTTCTGATGGGATTGGATAACGAAGGATATGGGAGTCTACGATCTAACATCATTGCCACAGAACCCTTGCCACCTCTGAATCGCGTATACTCCACAATTATCCCGCAGGAAGGGGTCTTGAAGACTACTCAAGAAGAGGAACGTAACCCGGTGGGCTTTGTCGTCACCTCCAAATTTGACCGTGACGCAACTAAGGATTTAAAATGCAAACATTGTGGGTTGAGCGGACACGAGAAGAGTGGTTGCTTTCAACTCATTGGATATCCTGAATGGTGGGGAGATCGCCCACGTATCCTGAACCCGGGACGAGGTAATGGCCGCGGCAAC